CTTTACAGAGTTCCGGTAATATTTTTAAAGGTGGTTCATTTAAAAGTTTTAGTGATGAAAATATTAAGATAGACATAGACTTCTTTTATACCATGAGATGTGAGCTATTGAACAGTTGGTTCTTGAATGTTGCAACTTCATAGGATTACATAATTATCTAACTGTTGAAAAATATATTTCCTAAATTTTACCAGTAATCTTGATCCGCATACTATGCATGCATGATCAGTGCTTACTGCAAAACAAGCATTACAAATGTATGGATTACACACTTTTAACTTAGCTTTACTATCAATCCAGTGATTGACTGTACCATGTTGGTTTATTTTTATAAGATTGATGGCTATAGAAAAACTCAAACAAAACAAAATGCATTTCCGTTAGTGTGCTTTTAAGTGATTTCCTCTACAATAATATGAGAAACAAATTTGTTTTAATGCTATCCACCATATTGCCATCTCTTTCAAATCAAACTAAATATATAATGTTTAAACAATTTAACTTTTTTTATCATGATATTATCATGATAAATCATATAATGATAAAAGATTTTAATAAGTGTCCATTATTGCCATATGTAAAATGCGTTATTTTTTTCCGTCACAGTTGTCTATGTATTTCATCTCTGAACTGAAATCATTCAGTTGTCAATAATATTTTAACGCAAACATTTTCTTAATCTACAACATTTGGTATGTAGAACAAAAAATCTGTCATTAAGAATTCACTGAAACTGTTTTATTTTACATGAAAATAGTATATTTCGTGTAACAGTAATTTTAACTAAACATGTATTTGATATTTAAAAACCAGAGGAATTTCAGTGGTATGCGGATTTCATTATTCTTTAGTTTGTGTAACAGCTATTATTTACAACAGTGAGGGTTATTAAGATATTTTTTTCCTATTTATGAAAAAATATTTACGAGAAGTAGATTACAAATATATTTGTACTTGAAAGAAAAATATTCAGTAAGGCATAATAATAAATACTTCATGTAAATATCATGTAAGTATTTGGAAAAAAATACAAACATAGGATTGTGTCCATATGTGTGAGATGTCGTGATGGAGGCAATGATGGCGGCATGTAACGAATATTTTGTATAGGTGTGTTCTACAGGTAAAAGAATTTCAATCGGTGTTGACCGAAATGCACATCTACTTCTGTTGACAAGTTGTCATCGAAATTACGCAATTTGGAAAAGTTTGTAGTGTCTCCACATATAGTTGAGTTCGTTTATATCTAATTTTGTTAAGCCTTTCGATGAACTTATTTAACCAAGCCACTTGTATAGCAACAACTTATATGTACCACTGGTTTCTACTGTCATCTGGTTTGTATGAGCTGGTAAGACTAAATATTGCTTACACCTATGCGCATATTCATCCTCTTCGATTTAATGTTAATATCTCTTAAATATCTCGATGACTCAGACATTTTCCTATGTATATCTATGTACATTTTAATCTTATTTATGCATTCACCAATTCGCCAACTTGCTCGCTAGTGTGCTTGCCCTTCTCAGTGTGTTTGTGGTCTACTGGTCCATTTTGTGGTGTGTCGAAAATAAACTTATTCAACACTTCATGTTCGCCATCTGATTTAAAGCCGTCAGGCGCTACTTAGTAACGATTGTCTCGACGAGCGAATTATGAAGAGGAAGAACACGTTGAATATCAACTGTCACGAAACTAGTGATACATTGGCCACCACAAGTTAACTGAAATGTCCAAATTAGAATGTATTTTATGGAGATCATGTTAAATTAACAATGTTTTTGGCATCGAAAAAGTTTATCTTATTTGCAATTTAATTAATTCATTGAGTTAAAGCATCAACTTCAATCAGAATGGTTAATGATATCAATCCTATGAATATTTGACAGAATTAATGATCTGAAAAGGCTGTTTCGGTTAATTCTTATCTGTATAGGCAGTGAATTTGATTTGTATCATCAAAATATCTATTTGAATGCCTTGTATGATAATCATGAATAAATAATTTGTAAAATGATGAAAGGAAAAACTAAAAACTTATAACATTTTTGAAATAAAACAACCACGCAGTACTGAATAAGAAATATCTACTGAAAATACAATTTTACATAATCATAATGTTTAACAGTTCACTTATCTATAAAGATTGGAGATTAGAATAATTAAACCGTTGAAATGTGATGTATTTACCGCCATTAATTTATGAGTTGATGAAAAGAAACAATTTGAAATTATTATTTTATTTGTAAATATCAGCGAAAATTGTTCTGGGATTTTGTTATGTTCGTTACTAGGTACGCATGAAGCTATTACGAGTTCACCTTAGTCGATAAAACGCGAACGAGACAATCACTAGTGTCAAGTTAGGCTAACTTGAATCCCAAGCTGTAAAACAGAAGTCTTGGTAAGCGTAGAAAGTATATTGTACAAACACCCAGCAATCACAATACAATCAAGTACACAACTCTCGTTTATTTATACATCATAGAAACATCCTTGGGACAGTTACGAAAATAGCACACTAAAATACACAGCAGTCAATCACAGCCATGGATTTTCCTGGTGGGAAATGAAATCTCAAGGTCAACTGATCAGCCCATGCTCGCAAACGTGAAATCCAAAATAAGGCGTTTATCAAGCGAGTTCTGGGGATCTAATATCGCCAACAGATTTAATTAATGAAATTGAAGGAATATATCTCAGTTTCATATCTTACATGAGCTATGATTTATCTACAATACCATAGTCCATGAATCAGTCTTATCATTTGTATTTGTTATTGTAAAAACGCAGAATAATGATAAATGCACGACTTATTTGTATTTCATTCATTCGGACAGTACTGAGGCCTAGACTAATATGAGCATAAGCCTAAGTCAAATGTAAGAGAAATCAGTTATAAGATAAATAGTAACATACAGAGTAAATCAACTTATATACTGAAATCAGTGAGTATGTATTAACTTCATCAATATTTGTCACTGATGCAAATCTTGCTGATTACATTTTATTTCTGCAAGTTATGTTTAAAAATGAATTCAGAAAAAAATGAATTCAAGATTAACTAGTTTAATTTTACATCATCGCATCTCTAAAGTAGATGAGTGATTTACTTTGTTGTAATTTACAATATAGTTAAAATAGCTTATTATGATATTTTGTTTATGAAACGAAGACCTGTGCGCTAAAAGAATGAAAACTGTAAGCACTGGTATCAATAAACAACATTAACAATAATGTACATTATTTTCTAATTTGTTATCAAAACATTTGTACTTAAAAAAGAAAAAACAGGAGAATATTTATAGATTTACTCGAATAAAATTTAAAAGTGCATGTTTTTTCTAATCAATAAAAGGAGCACGTATATTAAATTTGATTATGCAGTTATCACGACGAAGCAGAAAGGTGATGGGTTTCCAGTGACAAATAAATAGTTGCACATTGTTACTCATATGATGTTACTTAATATCATAATTATACAACAGTCAGTATCAGTACATTATAATTGTATGATAACACTGATTCGATAAATGATTCCAGAAGGGTAAACACACTAGGCAATCCTAAATGTAATATGGCAATTCAGTCATAGGTTTGTGGTAACACTCACTGATAAATAGTTTCGTTAGCATGAATAAAACATCTAACTATGTGTATTAAACACGAATGTCACTATACTACGTCGGCTATTTAAGTAACATAATTAAATGTAGCGACATTAATATTAAAGTTTTTTTACCAAATATAATTATCGATCGTTTATTTATCTCTTCAATCTGTAGAATGTAAAATTTACTTCCACGGTTACTTATAATCTAATGAAGAAAATACTCTATCATAATTAGATAAGGTTGAAAATGCTAACAAATTATTTAGCTAGCCAATGTTCCATACGTTTTTCATAATCTTGAATATAAAAATTCTTGTGGCATTAAATGTGATTAGCATATTTTTATTACACTGATGAGCTTTCCATCGCAGAAATTAATAAAAAAGTTACTAGAAACATTATTTATGATTCTTCCATACATTTGTATTTAAATAAAGTGGAACTTAATTAACATAATAATAAACTAGGTGATAAATGTTTAGTTAAAAGATAATTTCAGTTTTTGGAAAATTAGATATCTTTGTATTTAAATATACTAGTTATACTTCAAACATTGGTATCTTCATCTCGTTTTTCAATGTTTTCTTAATTTAATCTACTTTTGGTGATAGAGATCAACTTGAAGTAATGCGATTAAAAATGAACATTCATCGTAGTTCGTAAACATAGTTTAATAAAAAAAAATAAAAAAATGCTAAATATCTGAAATTAAATGAGAAAAACCAGTGTGAATAACTTCATCAATTAAATTCTAAGAAATTTCAATGTTTCGTCTGATTTGAACCTCAAGGAGAACGTAATCAAAATCAATGGACTGATTTGACTTCAGTTATTTTCTCTTTGAAGAAATCCAAATGACATTAACCAACAAAACATTGGAATGATCTACATTTCTATGAACATCATTATATGAATAGGATTGAAAATATTATTTATCAACTTTCAAACAAAAATGTAATTCGTTAAAAGATCATTTTTACAAAATCTAAAAGAATGAACTACATAGACAGCAGATTGTAATTACTAGTTTTAATCTCAGTTTTTCATGGAGTATGAACAAATTAAAAGTCATCTATGATTATTGTAAACGTGGTATCTGCTACTGAAAATACTAAGGATTGCAAGTAACGTTTCATTTCATTCATGTTTTAAAAAGGAATTGAATTTCATTCACAGTGAATTGTGTAAAAAAAATGTACCACGAAATAATCCATACTAACACTTCTGAAGTGTTCATTAATGACTAGTTTCAAGAGAAAATTCCTGGAGTTCTGTTGAGAAGTAGTGACCAGTTAAACCTAGTTCAGTTTGTGAAAGGTATTCACAGAAGACAGAAGATATATGCTTATATATTTATACATATTTCTAATAAGAAAATAAAACTCACTTGCATCATAAAAAATGGAAGCCAACAAAGACAAAAGCAGCCCATAATAACTCCAAGTGTTTTAATTACTTTCGTATCGGAATTTCCACGAGATCTTCTTCCATGAGCTTCTCTCCACAATTCATTAGTTACATTCATAGAGTCAGTGAGTAGTTTTCTTGACGAATAAGAGTTTAATCGTTTATTTTCTTCTTTTGTTTCACAGATGCTATTTTTTGTATTTACATCCTTTTTTAAACCATTATCAGTTTCACTAGTTACCATGTTTTCATCATCTGACTGTACATATTGAGCTGTATTTGTACTTGTTATTTGTAGTTCTTCATGTAACTTCTTATCTAATATAGGTTCTGAATTTGAATTATTCGATACATTCTCTGGTATTTCAGTTGATTTACGTGATACGCCTGGAGTCATTTTTGATTGACCACTATGTGACATTTCTCTGGCCAATTTAAATATCCTTCCATACAAGATAATCATCACGAAAAGTGGTAGATAAAATGCAAAAAATGTTGCATACACCTGATAGCCAACATTTTTACTGTACTCACAGGCACATTTTTGAAATGGCTCTTTCCAACCGAAATTAGGCGGTACACTTATTAATGCTGAACCTATCCATGCAGTAGCTATCATTGCAGCCATACGACGTGGTGTTCGTCTACTTGCATATGTTAATGGTTTTGTGATAACTAAATACCGATCAATGGAAATAGCACAAAGATTTAGTATTGATGCAGTGCACAACAGTACATCGAAAGATATGTACATATCACATAAAGCCTCATTAAACGGCCAGTAACCTTGATAAGCATCAATTATTGTGAAAGGTAAGACTAATAGGGCTACAAATAAATCACTAAATGCTAAACTCCCAATAAGAATGTTGCTCGGTGTTTGGAGCTTTTTTACAAGTATCACAGCTAAAATTACTAAAAAATTTCCTCCAGCAGTAGCTATTGCAACAATTAGAGATAAGATAAAAATTATCCCCGTGGTTAATGCAGAATCATTTTCACTGATACACTGTGAGGTATTTGACTTGTTAGTCGACAATGTGGATTTGATACTAGAATTATGTAGTTGTGAGACAATCATCATATTTGAGTTTTCATTCATCCAGTTAGATACATCCAGAGAAGTTACAACTGTAAACAAACCATTACATGATAAGAGTATATTAATCAGTAATAACTGAAGCCGGTGCTCATGTTTGATTTGCAAATGCCACATGTTTCAAAAATCTGTGTAATACAATGTCATGTGTTGATTGTGTTTAATTCCGTTAAAGTGGACTAAGCATTAGTAACATACAAATTCACAGTGAGTTATTAGGTGATAATTAAAAATGGTGATATTTAAAGTTTAACTAAGCATTTTTAAGATGATGATTCATGTAGTTGACATTGTTAAAGTATGAAAAATATTGGCCATCGAATCTTGCAAATCATGATATATTCCTGTTCGAGGTTCAACATAATATTCACTCACTAATAATGCATTTTAAGCATTTAAGCTATTAGATTAACTTTCTATATTATATGTTATCATATTTTGAATTGAAATTTTCACTGCTTTACTATGATTATTGATCGCTAGCAACATTTAAAAAATATGTCATCAGCTATTCTTCTATCATACTCACTTCACCATACAATCCACTACTTAATAGGCTTGATAGATGGGATGTGAAGTCACTAAATTAATAGGCGGACATACAGTTGAATAATTCATTGATGTAAACAGTTTCAATTCTAATTCTGGCCATATATAACCAACCTTACCTTCAACTCTGATCTGGTAATAAATGCACAAATATCTACAGATATGTAGACATCACATACAGACATATAAACATATAGACAGACCTATGTATGAACAGACATCTAAAATTACCTGTCAGAAAAGAAATACATTTCTGTCTCTTCAAATATATTATTGCATTTAGACAAAAACTGCAGTTTTTTTACAGTGAGATATTTACATATTTGTGTGTGTGTGCGCGCATATGTACAAGTGGTTCTAACCTAGTAAACGTCTGATGACAACACCGACTCTGGGAGTACTTATGAATTGTGTGGCAATTTAGCCATTGAAAATTCTTAACAAACACTAATTTCACTAGTATTGAAAATTTTTTGAAACCTAATATTTCGCTTAGGTTCATTTGTCAGGGTTGTCTGAATCTCCCTGTTGATTTTACAGACTACAAATGCTCAGTCACTCGTTGCGTATGTTCACGATACGCTAACTGCCTCGATAAAACTATCGAGTTTTTGAAATTTGGTGTGTGCTCTGTAATATTTGAAACCCATAACTTGAATAAACCTTCATCACCGTGTTGCTCACTTACTTTCTTACAACTGTTACGCCCGATGGAGCATACAGCGCCGACCAGCATTCTCCAGCCTACTCTGTCCTGAACCGTCCTTTCTAGTTCCACCTAAGCGCAGTTCATTCTTTTCATGTTGTCTCCAATTCTCGACACAATGTGTTCCTTTCTTTCACTTCGGCCATGAGGATTCCAAGCTGGGGCTTGTCTCGTGACACATTTAGGTGCATTCCTCAATGTGTATCTTATCCACTTCCCGGGCTTTTTTCGAATTTCTTTCTCACTTGAAATCTGCTTTGTTCTCTCCCTCACCAGGTTATTGGTAATGGTGTATGGCCAACAGATCTGCAGTGTCGTTTGTAGAAAAATGTTAATAAATACCTGTGGATGATGACTTTCGTGGTTCTCCAGCTTTCCACTCCATGCAATAGAACTGTCTTGACTTTTGTATTGAAAGTTGTGACTTTAGTGTTGGTTGACAGTTGCTTCGAGTTTCAGATGTTCTTGGATTGTAGGAATACTACCTTTGCTTTGCCAATCCGTGTGTTTACGTCGTCAACGGAGTCATATTGATGATGCTGCCTAGGTATGTGAAGGTTTCTGTATCTTCCAATACTTCTCCACTAAGCGTTATTTGGTTTGTGCATGTTGTGTTGCATTGGAAAATCTAGCTTTCATATTTTTGTATGTTGAGACCTACTGGAATGTTATCTGGTCTTTCTACCTTGCCGCTCTTGATTTTTCTGATGGCCGTAATGGTCTCTTCAACTGTTAGTGAGTCAAAATCAATCGGAAGGTCCGTAGGTGCTGTTTCCCTTCCTGAATCTTACTCAGAGATTCATTCCTTTTGATGGTGCTTCCTGTGTCCCAGAACCATATAACATGCTGAAGTTATTGTATCCTTGATCCCTTTTCAGTCGTCCTCCATAGTATTTCCTCTTCTTTAAGCAGATCGTGAAAGGCCCGGCTGTTAATTATGTGAATGACCTAAACCACCATGGAATAAATTATGAGAATCAATGAAAACCCTTTCTAATACCTACTTGTTATCTATGATAAAAAAAATCCGCTTGCATAGATAAGGATTGTAAGGATTGATTGATGTCACCATCAGTCTTTAGGCTAATTATGTATAAAGTGTTTCTCATAAAGCAAAAAAGTCCGCCTGGGGCCTCTCTGAGGTTACTGCCGTTCCCAAGGGGTTAGTTTCCCTATCCCATAGAAAACCAACTCGCTACAAAAACGCTAACCAGAAACAATCATTCAAGCCATAAAGCGGATTTCTTAATTTCATAGATTCCCGTCATCTGCTTACTACCTAGGAACAGTATTATTAATTACTCATAACCGATGTATATTCTTTAAAACATATTAATGAATAATAAGTGATTAATAACAACAATTACGGAAGAACACTGTAGTGGTAACATAGATAAATATTTATGTCACTGGATGTGGAAATTCTAGAAGACTTCAAAAGACATTGAAACACGTGACTAGAGAGTTAATATCAGTGTCAAGATTAACAACCATCAAATTCAATGAAATCATAAGTTCACATGCAAAAATTTCAAAAAAGACTCAAGCATGAATAACCGTAAATATCAATGCAAATATGAAATAAGATATGGCGTCACCGAATAAACTGAGAAACAAGGGTTATGAGGTCAGTGATTGATTTATAACCACGTGAAAGCATAAATTTAGTTTACACATTTTAATCACAACGATCACTGTATAGTGAAATAGAAAAATTCGAAGTTGTCTAGATAGTGATTACTTTGGACATCTTTTAAATACATGCCTTGTTTAAAGTAATAGTAAGTAAGAGTAATCACTTCCAGGAGACTACAGTTTTTCTGGTTTACTCTTTCGCTTAACTTAACTAGTCCAGAAACATGAGACACTATCATTAACCATGTTTTTTCGCATTTTTAAAATCTCGTGAGTTTTCCCTTGCACATCGATAAAAGCAGTCTGTTCAATTCAAAGTAATACAAACATCAAACTTCAGTCAAGTTATTTAATTTGTTTATTAATATTATAAACGAGATTTCTCCATATTTCAAAGTTAAAAATGTACTAATATTGCTCGTTTTTTCCCATAGCTCTAATCGAAGATAAAACATTTTAGCTTTTCAGTTTTTTCGGTTTTATTGTTTTTGATGTGACCTAATGACGTCACTATGTGTACAATTAAATGATTTGCAACTAAACTATGTAAGACAGGACAATCACTAACAAACATGTTCAGAAACAGCAAACTGAGCTAACATCATACAAGAACATTTATACTTCATGTTAAAAAATAAAACAGCAGGATGAAAATCGCACGATGTATTAAAAAAGAAATGATAATATTTTTTAAAAAGTTTCTTTTTATATGACAGCATGAAAAGAAAGCGTAGTCATTGAAATTGTTTATTTCTTAATGTTTATGCTGCTATATTTATTGAATTACAAAAAAATGTACTATGTTGAGGAATTTTAATCATGAATGTAGCCTGTTTTTGCAATGGCTTATTACTGGTGAAAGATAAATTCTATCAATTTTCTGCTAATGTTTATACTGGGTTTACTACTGATGATACAACAGTTATTCTCATCCTTCACTTACAAATCAGCTTATGTAAGCATTAAAGTGTGCAAGGATAATTTTATCGACATATTAATCAGTGACTTAGGACAATCAACTGAGCTCATTTAATTTTGTAAATATTTACTTGCAAGTATTTAATTCCCACATGATTTAGGGGAATTTGTTTCGTTTTACCCTTGTTTATCTCATCTTTATCATTATCTTCAAATGTCACACTGGTTAGATTAAATATAGAATTGGTTAGTGGTTATGTTCAACGTTAACGTGAAAATAGACTAATTTTTCATCAGACTGCATATCAATAATTGCTATATCTCATATAAGCCACATTTTCTGAATTCTCTTCTATGTATGTGTCCTTACCTGAACTACCATTTTGAGCTTTGTTCATCATTATGGTTCTTTTATATCTACTTGATTAGTAATTGCTCACAACAATTTCTTACAATGAAATCGTTATTTTGATTCTATTGAGTTGCTTGTAAAAATCGCTTCAATATTAGGAGAGTTGATATTGAGAACTGATATCCTTTGATAACCAAGAAGTGCTAGAAAACTTTTTATTCATAATTCTTGTTATATTTGTATTACACACCCACTGCTATAACCTATATGTCCATCATGAATGGACAGACTTACATTTGTAACTCATCAGGAAGCGCACAACAGCTTTTGTTTCCTTGATCGATTTGTCCATCTCTTTCATATTGAATTCACATATTTTCAATTCATTCACTTTGCACAACCACCTATTTTATGGATCATGCTGTTTTGTCTGCTTTGTTCTTCAGGTCTAGCAAACGCTTTCTCAGTTTGCCAATGTTATGCATTCCATTCCATTAAATTTCTAGTTATAAGCAGTTTCTGTATTACAATCTTTCATTGTCGTTGGAACAATCTTGTTACGACCTCTGATATAAATATACAGTAGGAAACCTTTTTACCGTCTGCAAACATAATTATGAAAACAGGATTATGTTAAATTTTAAATCGTGCATAATTGTAAGAAGCGTCAGGAAATAGTATTTCACATTGGCTGCGATTGGTACTCAACTTGGATGCTGTATCAATAAACATACAAAGGTTTAGTGAAAGTGAGGTATGCTTATGCCAATAGAAACAAATGAATACTGTCTTAGGTCCAACTAGTATATTTAGACAAGTTATGAGGTTTGTAATAACTGTCTGTCTGTCTGTTGTAATACATACCTTTTTTTTCATGAACGTTATTACAATGTTTTTGAAACATTTTTCAAAGAAATCAAGCTGTTGTTTGATAAATATCATTGCCAAATTCTGCCT